AATTTAAAATCTAAATTGGGCCCGGCTGTGCTGTGCACAGCCGAGAACAAACTAGTGATAGATACACAAACATAGATGATGGGACACACACACACACACACACAGATGTATCTTACGGATTAGCATTATCCCATTCAAAAAGCTGGTATTAACAAAAATATTCTCCCACCAAACGTTCCACTTGGCAAAAAAATCTAAAATCAGCAGCTAATATCAGACTTGCACTTCTATTTATCTCATACACACCAATTTGAGCACTTTCAATTCATCAACATCAACATACCCAGTATATTCCCAACCAAATGCATCCGCAGAAAAAACGAGGTTTGCTTGATCACATACTTCAAGTCTCCCTAAACCAAATGCATAATCACTAATCATCAGCACCCATAAGTGCAAGCAGCTGCAGAAAGAGATTGATAATATCAAGGAACAGACACAAAGCAGCTTCAATATACTGATCGTAAGTGAAGCGCTTGATCAAGTTGAACGTGTCGTAAACCATGTATCCGCAGAAAACGAGCGCCCCAAAAGCTCCCATCAGCTGGTTCCCTAATTTCCCCGTGTGGAAAAAGATCTGTTCCCACACAAAAGATGAAATTTTAGCATACATTCATGATACGATGAGATTCGTAAGCCTTAATAAATACAGATGTAAGAATGAAGGCTATAAAAACCCACCCGAAAGAGGACGAAAGCTAATAGCAACAGAAGAGCAGAAAACAAGAAGGGGCCCAAGAAGCTAAAGTCCCAGCCTCGTTTGGCAGCCACAAATGTGAATAGAGTGAGACCAACAGAAGCAACTAGTGTTAGTCCGGCAGCCAGCAAAACAGTTTCAGCTGTAACAAAATAGTCGAACCAAGAATTACTTTATACCTTTAAATATAAAACTTTTCACGGTAACAAATTAATATTTTAAGGGAAAAAGAAGGGCTTACCTTTCTGGTGTGAGCAAACAGCACCGATCGTGAAAGCCATTCCCAGAGTGAAGAGGAATAGAAGAATGTAGTTCACGGGATGTAGCTCACGAAGGCAAAGCATGAGTATGAACACTGCATGGATTCAAGAGAGATGAAATTATCGACTGAGTACTAATGGAAATACCATCAACTTAATGAATATAGTCTTTCCTGTTGTCCTTTGAATAAAACTGTTATCCAAATTTGTTATACTATTACTTAATAAAAATTGTACAGAGCTGCATATACCGAAGTAATTCAGGTAAAGTCTAGAATAAATGGACAATCTCCCAAATTAAGGGTAGGCAAATATTTGAATAATATTAATTATATGCCACTTACTACATTGATCAATTGGCCAACATGACATGAGTAATGGGATTGTAAATCAGAAATTTATCTATTTTCAACAGACAATTCAAGAACTCCATAAAAAAAAATTGTTGTTTTCTAAATAACATACAACATTACCATATTAAGACATGCATAAAGATAAACGAACTAGCGCGGAGATAATATAAATGTACTGCTCGAGATTAACAGTAAACTATAGATGTAGACAACAGAAAAATTCAAAGGTGGCAGACAAATTAAGTATAACATATGGAATTACTGCTGTAAAAATCTCATGTACAATTGAATTCCTGATGGCAAAACCCCCGATTCTATATACAACAAGGATCAAGAAAAGTGTGTAGTTTTACAGATAAGCTTTTCACATTTTCGACTAATGACATGAAACCTCAGGAACTTTTTACTAAAGAATGAAATCAGGAAACAAGCAAATTCAGAATATCTATCAAGTAAGACAACCACCAAACAAGGAAGAACATATAGAGCCCATATCTGAACCAAATCGACACAGCCAACATATTTATGACATGAACATGAAAAAAAACAAGGACCCAACAAACCCAAACCCGGAAATTATCAAGAAAATCATGAACCCACACGAAAACACACACACACACACACACACACAAATAAGCAGCAAAACAAAACACACTGATTCTATACGCAGCAAACATAAGAAAAACCTGCACTTTTACAGATACGCTAGTCATGCTTTCGAATTATGACATGAAACCTCAGGAGGAGAGACTAAAGATGGTAAACAGGAAACACAAACTCACAATAGCTATCAAGAAAATCAACCACCAAAGAAGGACTAACATACAGAGCCCATACCTGAACCAAACCAACACACCCAACATATTTACGACGTGAACATGGAAAAAA